CGGATTCACACCTTTCACCAAAGGTATTTGTGCAAAATTTAATGTAAATAAAATCCAACTTGAATTCAAACTTGGCTTATTGACTTCTTGTTCGAAGCCAGTAACAATTTCACCACCTGCACACCCATATATACATTATATACTACTACTAAATTGTCAAAAATCAGATTAATAACAGGTGTTTGCAAGGGTTTTTGATAGCTATACTAAAACACACTGGCATAGTACCCATAAAAATAAAATGGGATTTTATATATACAGTGCTGCACAAAAGTGAAGATAATATTAAAAAAAATTACGGTCGGGGATGGATATTCTAACAGGACAATGATTCTGAAGTATCAAAACAAATCCACAAAAGAATGGGTTTAAAAAAAAAAAAAAAGTCTTGGAATGGCCCAGTCAAAGTTCTGATCTAAACTCAAGTGAAAATCTCTGATTCAAGTTAAATAGATTAAATTTAATATACCTAATGAGCAAAATATTTTAGTGTATTTCAAACTGAATTTAAATTAATTGGAATCTTTTTTATTTTCTCCATATCAATAAAATCTATAAATTCATCCATATTGACAGATCTGTCAACACAACATAATTTTTTTATTAAGTCTTTCAAAAATAAAAATAAACTTTTCTGAAATGTTAATTGAGAAAAATTAGCTGATTTGAAGTTTAATTAATCTGATTTAAAACATATTACAATTTAGTTTAAAATATAGCAGAAGAAAAGTATCTTTTTAACATGGAGCAGGGGAGTTTTTTGATATGTTGAGTAGCCAATGTTTGGAAAATTTAAGTAAGGAGTGATGGAACTGGAAAATAATTGCATAACAAACACAACGTAAATGTTTTTCTTATCTATATTTTTAAGTCCCCAGTAATCTTAAAAACTTCAAATATTTTAAACATTCTAAGTTTTTATTGAATTTTAGGTATTTTGGCTTTTTAGTCATATTTAAGCTGATTGTTGAGAAAATGTTAGAAAATTACCAATAAATTTACGATAGGTACTGCTCTTATTTTCTGATAATGTTCATAAAACTCGACATGTAGTTTGAACATAAAATTAAAAATGTATACACATAAAAAAATTCAAAATTATTTTTAAAAGGGGGGGAGGTTGTAGGGTAACAGGAGAAAATTCCAGTCTCATAAATAAAAGTTTCAAATATAAAAAGAAACAAATAAATCTAACACTAAAATTCAAGGAACTTTTAATTCAAATTTCAAATTTTAAATGTCAAATTGAGACATAATAGTAATACAATATGCAGACTCCAATGTCAAATAGAGACAATAAACACAATATTCAATATATACAGATACACGTATTATTTCATGTTCATAAATTTATGTTCCATTTATTTATACATATTTTTATGTCCAATCTGACATTAAAGTTTGAATTAAAATTTCCTTGAATTTTCAATGTTTAATTTGTTTCTTTAATAATGAGACTTATTTATGAGTTCTGGAATTTTGTCGACTGGGTTTCAAATTGTACTCAGCTTTTCCATTTATGATAAGTGAAATTTTAATTTGAATAGCAATACCACTTGGCCATTACAAATTAATACAGAATTTTAAAAGATTTAAAACTATAAATAATAAATTGTTATTGAAATTTTTTAAAATGAAAACAATTCTTATAAGAACTCAGTTTATTATTCATCGAAAAAAAAAAAAAAAAAAAAATTATTACAAAAAACAAAAAAAGTAAGTTTTTACATAAAAAAGAAACGTTTCAAAAATAATTTTATTAATTTCTCAATAAGCTCTGAAAGTTTCATTTAAAAATAAAATCCAACAATTGATTTTTTCAAGAAATTTTCAAATCAATGTTTTTCACCGCAAAAAAATCGCTAAAATTTTCCATACAAATTTAATGTTCCGCGTTGACTCCAGTAAAACGATATTTTTTTTAACCAAAATTTCTAAGGTTGTAAAAAAAAATTAAAAAAAATTTTTACATCAAAAATACTTTAAAATCTTTCTTTCTTAACAGAAAGCTTTTGACGAGAATATTATTTTTATTATGTTTTGGGAGACATTTTTTCTTTTTCATCATGTACCTAGTAACCTTAGCTGTAATATTTATATTTGAACCAGTAATCTTTGACTAGAAATAGCTAAATTAAATATTTATATGATCTGAGAAGCATTTTTACTTTTTACTCGGTAGGCAGAACCATTTTTGGTGGGGATACAGTCATCATAATCTCGGCCCTGTTGAAATGGCAGTTGTAACTCAAACAAACTGGTTCTAAAAAAATGGACGGAAAAAAGTAAACTGTTTGCAACAAAAGTACTCTAATGAAAGACTTTTGTAAGCAAAATATATATTTTTATTTCATGAAACTTACGGACAAGTTAGGAGTAAATCTATTTTCTAAGAGAATTAGTGAAAGTGGGGGACTGATTAGCGGTAGACTTTTAGGTGGTTTTTTTTTTTTTGCGTTAGAACTCAGTGAGCGAGGTCAGAAAATTAACCAGAATCTGTTTTCAGTTGATAATCTCAGATAAGGCAAATACAATAAATAAATAATCTAAAGATTTTTTTTCTACATATATATTCTAAATTTTACATTACAATATATACGCTACTTTAAGCGATTTGTAGAAAAAAATCGCTAAGGTTTTTTAATGTATACTATAAACTTTACTTTATCGATAGAAAGATCCATTTTTTTCATGGTAGCATCACAGATTAAAACTAAAAGAAAGAAAAAATACAAAAAAAAAAAAAAAAATTAAAAATAATATCGCTGATAAAAATTATTAACCCCCAAAAATCAAATGGTGCCAAATAACATTTTTTTTACTCGACAATCGATATTTACTAAAAAAATGCAGTTTATTCTATTTATTTATTTATTTATTTTGCTTTAAAAAACAAATTTCGAAAATATGTCATAAATAAGTCAGTTTTTTTTTATTGTTCATTACTGGAATGTAATATTTAGCGAACAATACGTAATCATGAAAAGAAATCTCTCTGTCCGCATTATGAACAAATCAATTAAAGACTCCATGGCTCACAGCCGACATCTCAGCTGTTCAACAGATGTTTTAGTTTCACTTTCACCAGTCGTAATAGTCGTGAAAACAAAAAAAAAAGTTTTAATTTTAAAGCAATATTTTTCCTTTAGAAGAAAATAAAATAAAAAAGTTGACATCTCAAAGAAAAGTTAACGAATTTTGAAGACATTTGATCTGAAATTATCCTAGTTTACAAGAAGAGGGGGGAAAAAATAAAGTTCCTAAGGAGGAAACCGAAACAGTCTATCAAGGAAGAACGAAAAAAAAAAAAACTTATTTTTTTACGGATATCTTTGAATAAATTATTTTCAATAATCATATACTTCGAAAATTCTTTACGGAGTACTTATTTCATAAATATACCTGATATTCGTTTTAGTGTTTAAAAACGAAACATTTTATTTTTTTAGATATACACAACATAAGTTAAAATATTTTGATAAATTGATTAGAAAATGTCACAATAAGTAAGTAACATTAATAATTTTTTCAAATAAATACAATATGGACAATAAAAGCAAAAATCAAGGAAACAAAATTTTCAAAAATAATGTTTAAAAAATAATTAGAAACATTTTTAAATTAGTCTACTAGTACTACTGGATATTATTGTTTATATTTGTAAATGGTCTCCATTATTATGATTCAATTTTAAACTAAAAGACTTCTTCAACATTATTTATTCGGATAGGCATTTTTTTGTCCCATATGATGATGGTCCCGCACGAATCTAACTTATTTGGCAATATTTTGGTTTGATCTTTACTTCATAAACACAATACTTAGGAAAAAAGAGAAACTAGAATTAAAAGTTAAAAAAATAGTATTAAAATATCGTCCTGCATTTTTTAACAGCTGATGTTCTTTTACTACAACCTCAAAAATAATTTAGTAAATAATAATTCATTCATCGATCAATGAATGATCGAATATCCCATTCAAGTCCTCGTCCATTAAACGAAATTATGTAATTAGACTCAACAACTCAATTATTGCAATATTTTAGATTTGAGAGGAATCTCTAAATATTTTTAGTTTTTGTGAATGAGTCAATTAGGGATGTTTTTTTAAACATTTAATCTTTTTTTTTTTAGATGAACTAAAAAAAGATTAAATTTTGTAATCGAGAAAGTAATTTATGTTTTCTTTTCTCTTTTGCTTCTTTATGTAAAATTTACAAGAAGATTTTTAAATTCTTGTTTTTAAATTTAAGTGTGTATAAACACGAAAAAAAACGAAAAAAGATTACGTGAATTTCTTGTATTTGGTGATCATTCAAATAAAATAGAATGTGTAAACGCAAAAAATGTAGTGATTATTATACAAAATAGTGATTTTACAGAATAAAAAAAAAATAACGATTTTCAACGTAACAACATATTTACGATGAAAATGTCCATTAATTGCTACAAACACTGTTTAACGTAGACATCAGACACACAAAACTCGGTCTCAAAGAGCATTTTTATGAGTCCCCGCCTAATTAAAATCAAAACAAACATTTTAATCATTATATTCTAAATTATAAATGTAATTGTTTTGGAGGTATAAGCTGAAACATAGGATATTAGAGAGAAAGCAAAAATGAGTATTTAATTTTAATACGATATAGTAGTGACTGCAATCCATTCATTCTCATTCATTCATAGAAATGGCTTACTACTACTATATTTACAAGAAGAGAAATTTGTAAAATATCGTAGTAGTTGCAGTAAGAGGTAGGGAAGAATATTTCTTAAGGAAATAATAAAAACAGATCAGATTTTTAAAAACTCAACCATCCAGCCAAATCAGCTGCAAATAAATTATAAAATAAACAGGGAAAAAGGAAAATTAAAAATAGGGTAAATTAGGGTGTTTAAGCTCAAAATTAAATAAGCTTCGCTATAAAATCCAAAATAATCAAATATTACAAAATAATTTTAAAAGGGAATTTATAGTTCTATTCTTTTTAAACCCACCTTTCTTCATCTGTGAGGTGTTTCTCTCTTAGAGACTTGTCGATTCGTTCTATGTGTGTCCGACAAGCTTTTATGCCTTTTTCAACTGCTTCGATCTGTAAAGAAAAAAAAAAGAAAACATTTTTTTATTTCATTTAGAAGTTATTAAAAAGCAAAATATACCTATTTTAAAAATATATATATACTTTTTAGAGACACCGAGTGAAAAGTTATAATGAAAAACGAAATCACAAACCTGTCCGAAGATACTCGGCATCGTTGAAGCCAACTCTGAGAAATAAGGACACGTGGCCTGGTTTTATGCAAAAAAGGTCACTTCCGGGTGATATGAATTAATTAAAATGAAATTAAATAGGAAAGTTCGTTTTTTTTTTTAAAACTTTATTTTGAAATAAAATCAATATTTATTTTACAATCGTGATTTTTTAAACTACTATATTTTAAATACTGACATCATAGTTACTGTCATAATAAAGATTTAATTTTAATAGAATATATTTATTTAGCTAAGTCTGGCCCAAGGTCAGAATAAAATTGTATAAACAGTGAAAATCACAAATAAAAGCAAATTTATGGTTACTTAATAGTAGTTATACGAGGGGTAGAGTAATAAAAAGGCTCTCATCCTACCAAGAAGCACTTCCAAAAAAATTCTGATGTAGTCTAGAATATCATTTGGTTAGATTTTTTTGGGAAAAGCGGGTGAAATCGAAAAATTTTCAGCACCTCCTCGTACTTTTTAATAATATTTTCTTTTTTAATTTACAAAAAGTAAAAGTAATTGTCAAGCGTAGCTAAGTTTTTATTTTCCACTATTTACATTGATCGAACAGTTGTCCTCATCTTCATTGTCATACTCACAACGTTTCGGACGTTGTATGCTCCAAATTTCTTCAGGTGAAATACGTTTGAATTTCAACCCACACCCTTTATTTATTACACTGGGGTAGATTATTCTTGTTCTACATGTCTTGCCTTTTCTAGTTTCAATATCTGTCTATATCTCTGAGATGAGGTATTATGATTATTTACATTATTCAGACTGTTATCATAAACTTCATTGCTATATTCACAACGTTTCGGCCATTGTACACTTCAGTCTTCTTCAGGTGATTGGAATTTTGAACCGAACCCTTTATTTTGTCCACTGGGGTAGATTGTTCTAGTTCCACGTGCCATGCCTCTTCCAGATGTCTCAGTTATTTCCCTTTAACTTAGCTCTCCAAGTGGTGCACCAAAAACTTGAAGAGCAAAGTTAAAGGGAAATAACTGAGACATCTGGAAGAGGCATGGAATGTGGAACTAGCTATGTTTTTGTCCTTACTTTTTTAAATATTATTTTTTTTTAATTTTTAATACTTTTTAAAGATCAATTTCTAATTAAAATTCCACTCTGACAGTTTTTTTTATCAAAAATTGCCGCTTTGTGGAACAGATTCCTGCATCTTTGTTTCTCTGAACAGTTTGTAGTGGTGCTGTAAGTATTGTTGGCTAGAGTCACTGTGAATATAATAAAGAAGGAAGACTGTGTTCTTGTAAAACAACACCCCACATGAATAATGTACAACAAACACGAGAGAAAAAAATAATCAAGCTCAATGAACATTAATAATATATTGTATTAACAATGATATATTATACAAATATCAACAATAGTATAAAAAGTTGTTCCCTTTTTCCGTAATAAAAGGGTAAATTTAGCTAATAAATGTTAAGTACAAAATTGACTGTAATTTAACTACAAGGTTCAATTGAAGTCTTAGCTAAATAAAGAATAGTTCCACAGTGTTTTACCAGTGTAGAAAAATGTAATGTTCATGAGTGATATCAATAGGAATCAGTATGATTACTTGGTTGAGAGATAATTAAGAATTAAAATGTCAATATAGCGCCGTGCCTTGCTTTCCAAGAATTGAACTGCTACTGCCTGTGTTGGCAAACAGCGCGAATTTATATAGCAAGCTTTAGGCTCAAGATGGCTTAGCGCGAAAATATAGAAAAGATACTAAAATATGTGATTGGTCAGGAAATGGACCAATCCGTGATTTTAGAGAAAATTTTGAATTACCTGCGATGGTTAAATTGTCCTATAATAAGTATCATGTATTTATTATCCAATAAGAATAAAGAAAACGGAGGTGTGGCACATGTAAGTGATTCCTACAAGTTCAATCTTGACCTGTTCAAGTATCAATTTCTTCTTTATCCTGATAAACACCTCTTCTTACCATTTTCTCTTTCATTCATATCCTATACCTCATCAAGAATTGCCATTTAGTTGAATGTAACTTTTTACATTGATTGGCCTTCAATCTTTGTATTGAGTGAACTTTAGTATTAAAAAAAAAATTATTCTACACACTTTAAAAAAAAAAAACAAATTTGGGAAATCTTAATCACATTCCTTTTAAATTATTTCAAAAGTAAATGTAATTTTTTAGAATGACTTACACCAGTGGTTCTCAAATGGTACACCTGGGTGCAATGGTGCACTCTGGAAGATGTCTAGGTGCATCCTGGCATTCCAGAGAAATATGTATCCAGATATAAGTAATAAATATATTTACTTTATTATATTGCGGTACCTGTCTCGTTGCAGATAGCCCCCGAGGAAAGCTTCAATGATAGGAAGCTTTTGTTTTCCTGTATTGAACTGGTAGGAGTTGCTGGTCAATCTTCCATGCCTACTTCGAGAAAGTTGATTACTAAAAGATACATTATGTAACATAAAATGATGATGAGGATTAGGATTGTTTATTTAAAAGATGTCTTATTTATACTTTCATAGTAATTTATCATTTATAATTTATCACTTATGTATTTATATAAGCAAATGTGATAAATTAGTTACTTTATTATATACACTGATCATGGGTTGATGATTAAACATAATGAATTGTCTCTTGAAGCTTTTTGGATTTCTATAAAAAGAAGAATATGTGTCAATATCTAAAAAAGCTCTGACCATTTTACTACATTTTGCAACATCATATTTATGTGGATTAGCCTTTTCTGCTCTCACCACAATTAAGTGCAAAAAGAAAGGAACTCTTCAATGTATTAAGGAGGAAATGAGAGTTTGCCTATCAAATATACACCCAAACATTGAAGAAAGCCTCATCAGACTCATGTTTCTAATAAACACAAGAATGAATAAACTTAAGCCATGTTTCATTTTATATGTTTTTATTGCATTATTTCTTTTCTGCAATATTTGACTTCATTATAACATTTTTCCAAAATTTGTATATGGTACACCTACAATTATTGGTAGGATTTCAAGTGCGCTCTGAATTGAAAAAGTTTGAGAACCACTGACTTACACAAATGCTGTAGCTCCTAATTTATTTTCTTAATGCATTACATTTGAACTGATTATTATGTGGGGCACTTCCACCCACACAACTCCCATGCTGCATCATTTAATTTGGTGATGATACTGTGTGAATATGATTTCATATGAGTAGATTGCACTGGCAAATGTAGGGCTCAAGATGTTATTTTTCGATATTACATTGTATCAATATATAGCTTCTTGTATTGAGCACTACTTTTCCATAACAATCTGCTTGACAGTCCTGTGACATGTCTCGATCATTCCATTTTATGATGGGATGTGTGAATATTGTGAGCATTGCTGGATACCCACCAATTCCTCCAGAAAAACCTTGAATGTCCTGCTGTTGAATATGAACTTCCTTGTAAACATGATGCCATGTTCAGCAGCAGAACATTCAAGACTTTCGTTGAGGAATGGCAAGGCATACAAATTTTGACTTGACCAATCATCTGACAAGGAAAGTCAATACTTTTCTTGCTACTCATGACAACTTATTACAAGTCTTATTGCATGTTATTATTGAAGCTTATTATCCCACCTGACTGGTTCAATGCATTGGCATTGGGAACAGATCTATGGACACCTCTACTCAAGCAAAGTTCAAGTAATTCTTTTTAATAAATAAATGTTATAAGTGAAAACTTGTATAAATCCAAACAATGACAAAATGTCAAATACACAAAAATTCTGTTTATATTTCTGAGATGAGGTATTATATACATTATTTGGACTATTGTCCTCATCTTTGTCGCCATATAAGTACAGACAAATAGATGGGGTCACTGTGGCTAATCCTTTGGGTCCTGTGATGGCCAACTTTTTTGTTGGGTTTTATGAGTAGGATTTGCTTGCTTGTATTGAAAATCCTAATTATTATTACCAATAAATTGGATGGCAATTTTTATGTATTATTTACATTATTTGGACTATTGTCCTCATCTTTGTCGCCATATTTATTACGTTTCGGCCTTTTAATATCTGTCTATATTTCTGAGATGAGGTATTATGTACATTATTTACATTATTCGGACTATTGTCTTCATCTTTGTCGCCATATTTATTACAACGTTTCGGCCTTTCAGTATCTGTCTATATTTCTGAAATTAGGTATTATGTACATTATTTACATTATTCGGACTATTGTCCTCATCTTTGTCACCATATTCATTACGTTTCGCCCTTTCAGTATCTGTCTATATTTCTGAAATGAGGTATTATGTACATTATTTACATTATTCGGACTATTGTCCTCATCTTTGTCGCCATATTTATTACAACGTTTTGGCCTTTCAATATCTGTCTATATTTCTGAAATGAGGTATTATGTACATTATTCGGACTATTGTCCTCATCTTTGTTGCCATATTCATTACAGCGTTCTGGCCTTTCAGTATCTGTCTATATTTCTGAGATGAGGTATTATGTACATTATTTACATTATTTGGACTATTATCCTCATCTTTGTCGCCATATATGTACAGACAAGTAAATGGGATCACTATGGCTAGTCCTTTGGTTTCAGTGATGGCCAACCTTTTTGCTGGGTTTTATGAGTAGGATTTGCTTGCTTGTATTGAAAATCCTAATTATTATTACCAATAAATTAGTAGACAATTTTTATGTATTATTTACATTATTCAGACTATTGTCCTTACCTTTGTCACCATATTTATTATAACGTTTTGGCTGTTGTACACTCCGGCCTTCTTCAGGTGGTTGGAATGTCGAACTGAACCCTTTATTTTGCTCACTGGGGTAGACTGTTCTAGTTCCACGTGCCATGTTTAATGGATGTCAGTTATCAGTTATCTCCTGTTAATTCCCCTCTCCAAGTTCTCCACTGCCTTAACCGGATATTGAACTCACTCTTAGGGTCTTGTCACTGGATCTAACCAATGCTTTTATCCACTGTGCCATGTGTCCTTTGGAGAGGGGAATTAACAGGAGATAACTGACAATTGACATCCATTAAACATGGCACGTGGAACTAGAACAGTCTACCCCAGTGAGCGAAATAATGGGTTCAGTTCAATATTCCAACCACCTGAAGAAGGCCGGAGCATACAAAGAAGGACGAAACATTGTAATAAATATGACCACAAAGATGAGGACAATAGTCCGAATAATGTAAATAATATACAAAAATTGTCATCCAATTTATTGGTAATAATAATTAGGATTTTCAATACATGCAAGCAAATCCTACTCATAAAACCCAACAAAAAAGTTGGCTATCATAGGACCCAAAGGACTACCCATAGTGATCCCATCTATTTGTCTGTACATCATACTGTCAAAACTAGATTCCACTGACATGGCAGCAAATTTCATGGACTTATTGAAAACAGACACATTGGATAGAGGAGATAAATTTCACAGGATGTCTTCATCAAGTTCTTGGAATTTGCCATTATATCAGTGAAATTTACTTTTGACAGTATGATGTACAAAGCAATAGATGGGATTGCTATTAATCTTTTGTGTCCTGTGATGGTCAACATTCTTGTCAGAGTTCAAAAAAAAAATTCCCACCAAACTATGGCTTTCATAAAAATATCTCTTTATGGGGACACCTAATATCTGCTCAAAATTTTGGATCTTTCCTTACACTGTTGTTGTTGTTTCTGCTGTTGTATGTATCATCATCATCATTATTATTTTATATAACATGTCCTTTCAGGATTTTGGCAATGATGGCTCTTCACAACTTCCTGTCTTGTTAATTTAAGTAACCTTTGACCCATTACCATCCTTCTTTGTCCTTGTTCTGCTATCCATTCATGCAAACTTATTAAGTAGGTTACTTGCTACTTCCCTCTGCTTTTCTTGTATTCAATATGTCTTGTGAGTATTAAATTCTCTTGATACTTTCCTCATTGTATCCCAGAAATTTCAATTGTTTCATTCTGATTGCAAGTTTCCTTGTAGTTCCTATTTTCCTTAAGATTTCCTCATGTTCTGTTGCATTCCCTGTATTCATCAACAGAATCACATCTTTGTTACTTCAAGTCTCTTCATCTGAAGAAATTTTCAAGCATTTGCCTCTCTAGAGGAGATAAGATATTACATAGCAGTTCAGCACTCTTTTTGTTTCTAATGATATTTTCCTATGTCTTAATACTTTGCTTAGTTTCTGGAAATCATTTTTCACTATTCCTACACACCTTTAAATTTGTGTCATATTTTCTATTTGTCTGTTACATTTCTGTCCCTACTTGATTTTGACATCCCCAATATGTAGCTCACATCTTGAACTGCCTCTTTTGCTAACAACCATGGAATATATTATCTTATAGTTGTCATTTCTTGTTGCTTTCTTTTACTACTTTATCTAAGTGTTCTTTCAGTTTCCTTTCTGAGTTTTCCATTGACACAGTGTACTTCTATGATCTTGCAATACTTATATATTATATACAATATATTATATTTTTGTGATGTCAATTAACACTTGTTGCCACTTTTGTAATGTCAATGAATACTCGTTGTCATTTTCATAATGCTCATTGTAGTAGAGACTTTGTAATCACAGATACAACTATAGTAATGCTGTTGAACAATACTGGTGTCAGATGCCTTCAATTAACACTCACACTAATAGTACTTGCTCAATAATACTTGCTCAAATAGAGAAATAGTATAGAGAATAGCAATCCATATAGTAATAGAGGATAGAGTAGAAAGAGTGATCCGTATAGTAATAAAGGATAGAATAGAAATGGTGATCTGTATAGTGATAGAGTATAGAGTAGAAAGAGTGATCCCTATATTAACAGAGGATAGAATAGAAATGCTGATCCATATAGTATTAGATGATAGAATAGAAATGATGATCAGTTAGATGCCATGCTAATTCCCATATATACATTTCCTTTGCGATCACATGGTCTACTTATTAGAAATGGAATCACCTGTGTTTGCTCACTGGTGATCTTTGTTCAAACCCAAGTGTCAGCAGCAACACTTTATTCCTGTATAACATATATTATATCATATTATATACAATATTTATTCCGATCATGCAACAGTGGATAGATCTGGCACAACTATATAATCCTGTATGTGGTTCTGCTAATAATCAAATAGAATTGGTTTGGCTCATGAAAGCATAAATCATAAATACCAATTTGTTGACGCAGACACTGATGCAAGTATAAATCACTTGAATACACTGGCAAAGTTGTAAATGAAAAAAATCGAAGTAATTCATGAACCAACAAATTGTGATACAATGGAGTTTATCTGGAATCAAAGATTCAAGACTTAAAGCCACATCACATTGAAACACTGGTTCCATACAATCACCAAAGTTAAGCAACGTTGATCCTGGTCAGTACCTAGATGGGTGACTACTTGGGAATACCAGTTGCTGTAAGCTTGGATGGGTGGGTGGTGTAATGGATAATGGCTTAGAATTTTTAATCAGAGAGCCAAGTTTCAATTCCTGTTGTGTTTGTTATATTCACTTATGCGCAAATATCCTTGGAAATGGTATCTCTTCTCCCCCAGTTATGGGTTAATTAGTAAGACATATATCACTAAACTGTTATTGATTCAAAAAAAAATTCTTACAATGTAAAGATATTTCTTGAGTTTAAAGAAGTGTTGATAAACTGTAAAAAATGAATGAATCGATCAAAGATTCACAAGATTCAAAATTTTATCAGTTTTGGCATCAAATTTTAATACATGGGAAGTAAATATATGATGCTTTGAAATGGGTAGGTATAAAAATATAATAGTGCCCACAGTATTATCATAGACATAATCTTCATTATTACTATTGTTTTATATGACTCCATCTTATTATTGCTGCCTTTTTGTAGCAGAGACTTAACTTGTGTGTGTTTTGCAATGGAGTGTGGAGATGGTGAATTGGCGAGATTCAGACTGAAGGTGAATCAGGCACCACTTCATTTTGTCGGAAGTGGTGGTGTTGCTTGAGGCATATTTATTGGTTGGTTCTGGGTGTTCATTGCCTGAGCGATGGCTGGGTCAGGTGCATAAAAGCATGGTACACTCATTCAAGGGGTGATTTTCACCTCTGACGAGGACTGGCGTATTTGAGATTGAGACATGGAGAGAATTGTGGATTTGTTTTGTCAAGTGGACTTATTGGACTCGGATATAGCTTTTTTTTCTTTTCCTGTGTGTGCTTCTGACCAATTTTCACAAACTTTTATAACTAGATTGATTCACAATCTAACTTCTAAAATTGTATAAAATTAGAAATCATGTAGCCTCTAACAAAACTCAAAGTCAAAAGTGTATAGTAATAGTGGTGTCAAGGGAATAAGCATTCTTTTGTCACACCGCCTTTTTTGCGAGTACAAAGGTTAAACATTGCCTAAAACTTTATCCCTTACTTGATCATCATTCTTTCCATTCCGTATCAGAATAAAATGAGATCTCTCAACTATGACAGAATCCAAAATTGTATTTTAATCACTGTTCTGTTGGATAATTGAAAGACAATAACTCTCACTGCTACTCTTATATCACCTCCTACTACTACAGTAGTGCTCAATTTGAGGAATCAAGACAAAGTTGACAGAAGTTAGGTTTTAAGTAACAATTATACATTTAGGGAAAACAAGTTTTGTCCTGGCCATTGAAAATTTCAATACATTTCTAAAATAACGCTACCATTTAAAAGTTGAAGATCACTGGTTGTTAAACAGAAATCTTTCATTCTGTTGGTGCCATGATTAACTATTTTGTAACCTTTTAAATATAATTACAACAGTATCAAGCTTTAGACTGTTCATTACTGCTGAACTCTCTGCCTTGAGCAGAGAGGAACCCGGACGAGGATTTGCCAAAGGGCAAAGTTTCGTCCGGGGAGGTAGACAGGTCCTGAACGCGTTTATGTGGGTTCTAAGGGAATATTTTTGGCTGAGCCTATAGGGCTTGGAGAATCTATGGTAAACTCGACCTTGTGCCACATACATCTCTCGTAGGCGGGGAGGCTGTTAAATATAACAGTATCAAGCTTTATTACATTAAACACAAATCAAAGCTGGGATATATAAAATTTAATACCTGCACTGCTAGAAGAACTACATAGGCAAAACTTCCAGAAAGCTAAAAACCTGAATCTATAAACATAAAAGAGAGTTCCTACACATTAAACTCCTTAGTAACACATAAACAAAACAGGCCACAATTTTGATTTTAAGAAAATTGTACCCTAAAAATTGACACATCCTGTTACGAAGAAAATATCTAGAAGGAATATGAATTAATATCCTTCCATCAATAAACCCATACCAGATGCACTTTTTCATATCACCAATATTCATAAAACCTCCACTTAAAGAATGTCAGGTCCATGCATTTGCTGAGGACATAACTTAATTTCACACATTCACTTCATGCTAACCATAAAATCAAAAATATGCTCTCATGAAGAGACACACTAAATATCTACCAATATACACAAAAATTACAAATAATGAATCTATTCATAAAACATGTACCAATGTACCCATCCTCACTACATGCCAAAAATTTCTCTGATACACAATTTTTTCCTTCTTAATAAAAACAATCATGACAATAAAGTTTACTCCAAAAATTAATAATGTAAATTTAATCCAGTTAACATATGCACTAATTCTATCAGTAGCCATTGCCCACCCTGCTAGAAATTTGATACACACACACACATTTTCCCATTTCTTCCAACTACTGTCTTCTGGAATTAGATACACACAGACACTACAAGATGCACAAAAACCATCCACTAGAATTCAAGTGCACACACACGCACACACACTAATGCCCCAAGATATAAACACGCAATATCTACGTGACCAATAGAAATCATGCAGCATAAAATACAGAAACATTCTCTGTTGTTCCCTGATTTCAAAAAGGATTTCTGAGGAAGCTATAATAAAAGTGAAAGGTGTCAAACTTATAAACGTTTACCTATTTATCCCTTATTTAATTATATTTCATTGGGTTCAGATTCTGAAGCTGCCTTTTAAAATTATCTTCATTTGAAATTGTTTTTTGATCTGGACAATACTAACATGATTATTTAATAAACACTTTATGATTATTTTATGTTGTCTGTTTTTCTTCAAATAACAGTGTTGGAAATATTTTGCTACAGGTTAAAACTGAATAAAATTGGAAGCAATCAAAGTTAAATATAAAGCATTTATTTATTTACAAAGATGTCAAATTCATCATTATTATTATTATTAATCTTCTGTGTTTCCTTCCTGTTGGAAATAGCGTTTCTGTTTGTTTTGTATTTTCTTTCTCTTCTTTTTAAGATATGCCTGCACTTTGCTTTTTTCTTTCAGTTCTTTGTATTTCTCAACAATCTCCAGAAGTTTCTTGTCCGCTGAAAAAAATAAGGAAAAAAAAGAGAAGGGATGAGTTTTTCAAGATTGCATGCAGAAATGTTGAAAGCTTCAAATTTAAGAATCATTTGGAAAAAGATTAAACTGGAATCATCAAGCATATACAAACGAATTCCTGCTTTTTAAAACAGTGAAATTAATGTCTACTCATTATCGTGAAAACTTTGAAAACAAAGCTGCAGATGAATAAGGAATATGTTGTCGGAAATTGTTTCTTGTTTTTTTTTTAGAAATCACTCCACCCATAAATATGACAATGTCTGTCTGCTAATTTTGGATGCTACACGTTTTGGGGCAATATTTTCTTTACCTTTGATTCTTTTTATGCAAATTTACTAAAGGGTAGAACTAACCTGGAATTGAACTTGTTAGCAAATTCCACATTTCATTACAACACATGGACATCTTTAGTTGCTATTAGTTAATCAATTTGACTAACATCAGTTACCAATTATACTGTAAACATACAACGCAACTGTAGGAGAAGCCGAAAATTCATACAGGATATGAAACCCAAAAGATTCAGGAAGATGTAATGGAATTGGTTTAGCTAATAGGTAATTAGCATAAAGAGAGCTATAACTATAGCTCATGGGCAACTTTGAATCAATGTATTCACTTTACTCAGGCAGAGGTGATCAAAGTTCTTTGGCACACTCAGAGTATGAAACATAGAACACTGAGAATAAAAAAACTAGATCAAGTTCCCCCATAACGAGAAATACTTGTAAAACCAGTAAGAGGGGGAGGGAATGTAGGAGAAGCCGTAGATCCATGCAGGGCATGAAACCCAAAAGATTCAGGAAGATGTAATCGAATTCGTTTAGCTAATAGGTAATTAGCATAAAGAGAGCTATAACTCTAGCTCATGGGCAACTTTGAGTCAGTGTATGTAGAATATCTACAGCTACTAAGTTTGATCATCATAACAACAACTTTTGACCAATCTGTCCACTAACACTGCATTTTGATTCTCAATCTTGTTGGTGTGCATCAAAAGTTGGGCAAGGGCCTGATGCATGCTCACAAGGTAACAAGATGAAAGACAAATGCCACATCAAGGAATAAGAATGCAAACCCTGTTTCCCATATAGATGTTTTATTCCAGGCTGAGCCTGCTCATCTGGGTGATTAGGTAGGTGATACTTACAACAATGTCAGCTATGTTGGTCTAGCGACTCCTCACCTATCTACTCATCCCAACATGGTGGCTGGCAATACAAATGAACAGCATAGAAATTATGCAACAGACAAATTTGTCTCTCACAAAGGGCAGACCCGAACTCTCCCTGATCCCAAGCATAACTCTTAAAATAGACCAGCGCACAATTATACTCTATTTCCAGTTTTGTTCTCACTTGTTCTCTAAAAGAACCCTCATCCACTCCTTTACTGCTCGTTCCCTTTTGGTCAAAGTGGATGACACTTAGAAAACAACCTCTTCCCTTTCAAAGTGGGTGTATTACAAAGCTATAATAAATATATTAATAACTAGCAGTAGATCCCGGCGTTGCCCAGGGATGTAACAGTAAGAGATAGATCAAGTATCGACCATCATAAAGACTGAAAAATAAAATTGACAAAGATTATTGTTTAAGGTTGACGGACACGCATGTCTTAATTAGTTTTTTTTTGTTGTTGTTTTTTGGGTTTTTTTTAAGAATTGGTCAAACCCAAACTCAAACAAAAACATTGTTTTCAATCATTATGAGTCTACCGATTGAATAGAATTTTATTATAAACAATTGTCTTGTAAATGGAATTTTTAAAGCATTCTGAATGTAAAAATAAAGAAAAAAAAAATCTGCAAGACAATAAGAAACACTACCTGCCAAAAAAAAAAAGTTTGTTGAAATCGGTTGAAAAATGTAGGAAATCCGATCCAATATATAAACGTACAGACATACACACACACACACAGAATCTGCGTTTTATAATAAGTAAGATTAAGAAATAGTGGAAAACAAAAATAACAGGGAAATATAAAGTAAACTTCTTTTTTTTTTAAAAAAAACTTACATTTTTTCAAGAAATATGGTTTCTTCCCTTGTTGAATCATTTCTTTCTCTTCAGATCGCCATTTGTGTTCCAAAGTCTTTTGTTTCTTGTCTTGTTCTGATGCCAACTTTTGTTGTTCCTGAGTCAAGGAAAAAAAAAAAATCATTTCTTTCAGTGACAGAGAATTTTTTGTTTCTAATATTTAACAATAAAAAAAAAATTCTTGATAAAAGTCATCTTTTAAAAAGTAATTAAAAAAAAAAAAAAAAGGATTGATTTGTTTGTAAAATAGTCAGACTTCTAAAATGTTCAAATCTTCAAATGCTGTTTATTTTCAAAGAACAAGAAAGAAGAAAAAAAAAAATCAAAGGAAAATCTGTCAAAAAACTGACCCTTTTGATTTTATTGCTGAGAATTATGGATGATGTTTATAGACAAAAAAATACACTATTTACATTATTCAAACTATTGTGCTCATCTTTGTCACCATATTTATTACAACGTTTTGGCCGTTGTATGCTCCGGCCTTCTTCAGGTGGTTGGAATGTCGAACTGAACCCTTTATTTTGCTCACTGGGGTAGACTGTTCTAGTTCCACGTGCCATGTTTAATGGATGTCAGTTATCAGTTATCTCCTGTTAATTCCCCTCTCCAAGTTCTCCACTGCCTTAACCAGGTATTGAACTCACACTCTTTGGGTCCTGTCACTGGATATAACCAATACCTTTATCCACTGTGCCATGTGAGTGAAATAAAGGGTTCAGTTCGATATTTCAACCATCTGAAGAAGGCCGGAGCATACAATGGCCGAAACATTGTAATAAATATGGTGACAAAGATGAGGAGAATAGTCCGAATAATGTAAATAGTGTACATAATACCTCATCTCAGAAATATAGACAGATACTGAAAGGCCGAAACGTTGTAATAAATATGCCGACAAAGATGAGGACAATAGTCTGAATAATGTAAATAGTGTACATAATACCTCATCTCAGAAATATAGACAGATACAGGCAAAAAAATGTTATGAAAATGGGTAAAAATTTATTAAATCATAATTAAAATTATTGAACAAAAATGTCTAAGGTCATTCTTTGATACAGTTGACAGTAGAACAGACACCAATTGTAAATAAATGTATTTTACAATTACGAAATATAAGAGGTGAATAATAGTTCTTTTTAAGCAAATATTCAATAAATCAACTATTTCTATTTATTCCCATTTTTTCAATGTGCAATTTTATTTTGGCAAAGGTTTTTATTTACATACTTGTCATGGTATAGTAATCAATGACAAAACACTTAGTTGTAAACAACAATTTCAAAAACATAACTCTGTTTCAACATAATCTCTTCTTGTTCTTGTTCTTATAATGGCATTCACCCGGGGTGGGTTGAGCCGGCTCCAATATTGGAGTTTCATGGGAATTTGGAATTCAGAAGTGGTCCTCAGCCCGCATGTATAGCACATGAGATTTGATTATAGTGGTGAAGGTTTCGTGCAGGACCATCCACACTTTTTGAAGGGCTGAATACAGAGACCTGGTGCACTACATGCTACAAGGTCCCCAAATGACCCTCCGCAGGTTTTGAATTCAGAGTTTTCCTTCTCCTAGACCAGTTGCCATCCAAGTCTATAGAACCCAGTCTGTCCTGCTATTTACCCATAGCTGGAGGGAGAAGAAGAGGATTCACACCTTTCCCAAGGGTATTAGCACGTAAGTGAATGTAATGGATTTGACTGGAATTCGAACTTGGCTCTCCGATTCCTCAATCCAAGCCACTATCCATTACTCCACCATACCTCCACAGCTGTTATCCATTACTCCACCATGTCTCCACGGTGGAGTTTCAACATAATATAAAGACGAAAAATTATATATACCCCCTCAACAATAACCAAGAATAAAAAATAAAAAGATAAAAAATACCATTCGTGTAAGAATATAATGGAGTTTTTCTTGCTTCTTAGGATCTTTAGTTTTCTTTAGTTTTTTCTTCAAAATCTGAAAACGAAAAAAAAAAAATTTTTATTTGAAGCTGTTACTTGAGGTTCAGGCAGCTGAACAAATGCATTTCTGAATTGTCAATGGATTTATCATCAACCAAGTGTTGAGTAGAGAACTTTTCTCAAGTTCAGTGCAAATGCTGAATGTTTCTCATGTAATGTTTACTTCAAGCAAGAAATGAAATATAATCAGACCACCAAAAAGGGTTTGCTTTTAGTTTTCAGAATATGTGAAGAACACAAATGACAAAAGACAGACTTCAAAGGGCAAACAATTAGGGTACTTTAACCTGTGTTGACATAACACTGATGGTAACTATTAACAAGGGTGGTAAACTATTGATCAGATTTCATCTCCCAATGGAAATATTGGAGGGGGGGGGTCATTTTTTTTTTTTTTTAATTGCTCTTCCTGTGATTGCCACTGCTGCTACATCTAAGCATTTTTAAGAATAACCGATCATCCTTTCTTTTTGATTAGAAAAAAAAAATGTTTTCAGTTTTATTATTGTGGACCCCAAACACTATCTCTAACATTAGCAGCTACAGATCCTTACTTTATTTTAGATTTAAGCAAAATTTTCTAAAAGAGATTTTATAAGCAAATACCTCTTTCTCCCCTCCTTAGTGCCATTAGACTTTATTAGGGGAGTAGTATAGGGCCACACCCTCACCATGATTGGTGTTGCTGCTGTGGTTTCTATAACTGGTAAGTTTTTACCAGGTGAAGTTGTCAATATCATCTCCAACCAGTTTTGAATTCAGGGTTATGCTTCTTCTAGATTGGTTGTCAACCAAAACTCAAGAGCCCAAACTTCTCTGCTATTTAACCCATAGCTGTGTGGAGGGTATTTGTGCAAAAGTGAATGCAATGAACTCGGCTGGAATTTGAACTCAGCATGCTGATTACACTTTCTGCACATCCACTTTCTCTTTTATAAGCAAAGCAAAGATGGAGAAAAATGTACATAAGTAAGACATAGGCAAAAAATAGTTTTTGACGGAGGGACACTGAAACACACTCCTTTTTTTCAATTCATTAAGGAGATGGAAAATTACTGTATATACTCGTGTAACATGTGAGCTTGTGTATCGTGTGACCCCCAAATTTTCACTTATAAAAAATGATTTTGTCATGCATCTTATGTATTATGTGAGTTCCTTTTTTGAGAGACCAAATTACAAAAGATTAACCTCTTTTACTTTATCTCTTAATCCCATCTTCTAGTTAAATAAGTTCAAAAAATAAAAGAGAATGATAAGACTATCATTAGTAATGCTATACTCATTGTGTAAATGCATACAATCATAAACAACTGAATGAGATACAACTAAACATCTTATAAATGTAAACAATGGAAAAAATGTATATTCGCTATGTTTGTATTGTATAATACGATACTAATATCTGAATATTACAAGCATTGTTTTTGGATACAGTTTAGTAAAACATCAGTTTTTATCAAAATCACGTTTATTTTTAATACAGCTGTACTTTTTGACTACAGTAGATGGATATATAGTTTGGTCAATAGTGTAGATAGGGCCAACAGTACACATGCTAATTTTATATCATGTATGATGCAACCCCCTTAGAATTAGCTGCAAAATTAGGTCTTGAAAAGTCGCATGATACATGAGTATATACAATATACACAAATGACAATGGAGTCATAAATGCTCCATGCTTTTATACTAACTCCTGGTTGCTTGAGTGTCTGCTTGGTGAGAGAAAAAAAAGACAAAAAAAAAAAAAAAAAGAAAGAAAAAAAGAGAGATAAATTTATTGAAGTGAAAATACATTGTTTGCTTCATTGGGTCTTTTCAGTGTTACCTTTCTTATTATTTCTACCACAACTATTCACAGATGTACCAATATCCGAAGCATGTAATTCTGATTATTATATACCTTGTTATTTGAACCAGCATATTCGTCTTAATTGTTATACTTACAATGTTTCAGCCATTGTGTACTTCTTCAGAATTGCTTGTTACACTGTGACATGCTAGACAATTTTTCTCACCTGAATCTAGCTTACACATTTATAAGTCTATCATTTTTCCATGTATTGTTGCCATATTTGGTTTGGTGCTTCTGTTATGTATCTAGAGATGTATCTAGAGGTCCTTGACAAAATCCAGAGAAGAATCTGCAATATCACTGGTGTTGACCTGGCATTTTGGCTTCAGTTACTTTCCCATCACTGTAATACAGCTTCCCTGTGCATTTTCTACAAATATTTTCATGGCGACTGTTCTGATGAGTTTTCCTCTTTGTTACCTCTATTTCATGAATTTAAGCATAATACTAGATTGGCTGCTAGGTCTTAACATTTTACAGTTGAAATTGCTAAGCATAACTGTAAGTTCCATTTGAATGGTTTCTTCTCTCACACTTCTCACCTGTGGAATTCTCTTCCAGCATTTCCCTTTTCTGTCAATTACAACCTACAAAATTGAATTGTACCACAAACAGTCACCCTCTGTCTTTTCAAATCCTGTTCTTTTATTGTCCTTTCTTATTAATATTTCCTCAGTTTCTTTCACTCACAGTAATCCCTTGAATCTTAGTGGCTTTATCATCTTGTTTGGGGTGAAATGATTAAAAACATTTTTGAACTGAACCCTTTACTCAATACTGAATTCAAGCTTTACTAGATGCTCCACTATTATGGTCTTGTACCATACTAAGCTAATTTTAGTAAATAAACAATCCCAAAAGATTATATGTAATTTCACTCCAATTTCAGCTATTGGACTCTTTGGTTTTCTTCAGGCATCTGTCTTCATAATTGGTAACTGTCTTGGAATTTCAGGGATGTGCAAGTAGCATAATAGATATTGGTACGTAATGAGAAATCAGGGAGCTGAGTCCGAATTCCAGTCGGATTTGTTACAGTCACTTACATGCAAATACCCTTGGGAAAGGGATGAATCCACCCTCTTCCCCCATCTATGAGACAAATAGGACATATTCTACCTAAAAATACAAAAATTCTTGTAGTCCCATTTTGTTTCAGCTTTAAATAACTAAATTATTCATGTAATCTAATCTTATTGATAAAATATAAAAAAAATAAAAAAATCAATCAACTTGGAATTTCAAACTGAACACTTTATTCAATCCATGGAAGTAGAATGTTCTCACACTGTTTTCCATGTTTAAGGGAGATAACTCGTATTATCACTCGTTTTATACACCTTTGGATCACTTGTTCATTTCTTCCCCTTAACTAGAGTAGGTGACTTTTTAACTTTATCAGGTACAGGGATTGAACTCACAACTTTCTGGGAACCAGATATGTTTTAAGCAACACTTTATTCCATTAAGCTATGTATCTCTTCCAAGATGGTTACCAACTATGAAAACAAGAGACCTGAAGCATGAGTATAAAAAAAAACCAAGATGAATATGCTGATCAAAATAGAAAAGTATATAAAAATGATAAATGTACAATTCTGACCGTACCTATTCTTCTTTCACATGCTTGGTATTCTTAAAGTTCCAGTTTATTCTATAGTCTACATCAAATACAACTTGTAGACTGCATTCAACTGAATAAAATAATTTAAAAGCTAAAATAGCAATATAAAAATGTGCTTACCCTTTTTTCTTTTTCCTTAACATCATCAATAAAGGAGTAAGCCTTCTGGAAAAATTGTTCATTATATTCTCCTGATAGGTTATCAAAACGCGGATCTCGAATTATCTGCAAACAACAAATTTTAAAATAAGAAAATAACAATTTTCAGTTTAAAATGAAAGACAAATTGAAAGAAATGTTTTAAATAATAAAAGTTCTTTGAAGTAAAAATTTAATTGAAAAACGAATTTAAAAATTAAAGATCTTTCGAGATAAGATTTTATTACAATAAAAATGTTATTGCTTTTCAATTTGTCATCATTGTTCGAATTATTTTTCTTTGTATATGAAATGGTTTATTTTCTAGTCTATATCAGGTGACATTTTATTTTCTAATTCAGTGTTTATTATTCATCAGTTCAGTTTATATTTCACCTTGTTACAAAGATGCATTTCTATAATAAGGGATTCCATTGAGTTCTACTTGTTATTACAAAAAAGTTCTCATTCATGAAGTAGTTGTAAAATAGAAAAATTAAAAATAGAATGTTTGGAAGATTCTAGATCATTCTAGTATATTTGAGAAAAATCTAGATGTTTCTCGAATCATCTAGATTTTTCTCGAATATACTAAATGATCTAGAATCTTAAACATTCTATTTCTAATTTTTCTATTTTACAACTTTTTGAATGAAAAACTTTTGTAATAACAAGTAGAACTCAATGGAATGATTATAGAAATGCATCCTCGCTGTTATCAACTCCGGCTTTTGATTCAAGGACTATTATATCCAGCCGAAAGAATCTCTATAAAAAGTTGCCAACCAACCAAAACCCAAAAGAGAATTTCATGGAACAAATTTGGTAAATAGAATTTTGACTAATTTTCATTGACCAAACTAAAAATTAATATTTATTTACACACCTTTGTGGATTTCCAAATATAGCACTTAGATTACTTCACTAGCCCTAAAGTGATAAAGATATTTGATTCCCTTTCCTTCTTCCTCGTAACACTTTGCCAGTAACTCTGTGTTTTCTGTTTTGTAGGCCACAATTGTTTATCTTGTATATATTTTATGTTCTGTTTTAGTAAATTAAATATTTGTTTGTGATTTAGCTCTGTGTTGTGGTAAATCATTTTTTTTCCTTTGTTACAATTATCAACACGTAACACACCTGAAGATAACCAAAAAATGAACCAGCTAAAATATTGGGAAGACAAAACAACAAAAATAAGCATAATAAAAACAATTTAAAAGAAAAATGAATAACAATAAATTGGAAAAGAATTTACATAAAAACATCATCATCAGATGATAACACCTGAAACTGAGTGAAGGAGAGGGAATATAAGACTTTAACCTTATTAAACACACTATTATAGAAATTTCAAACAATCCACCAAATAAATAAATAGTGGGTGATATTGGGGGACAAACTCCTACTGTCTATAAAATGTTTCTTGGCATGCATCCAAACAGCCCTCTGACAACTAAGTCTATCTCCAAGCTGGGAAATGGATGAAGGCAGATGACTAGCATCTTTAACCAACTGCTTTGGGTAGATGGAAATCTTGATAGCCCAGAAAGACATTCCATGTAGGGGAAGGAACATCTGATTTTAAATAGAATCTGCCTTGTGGTCATATCCAAACATGGAAAAAAAAATATGGAAGTAAATCCAAAATTGCAGAAAAATTGGTCTGGAGCCCTGAATGTAGTTGTCTGTCTGTCAATGCTGACAACTTTCTGGCAATTCTTGCAGCCAAGCCAGCCTGTATTCCTTTAGATCTTGTTGGTATGGCCGAGAGGAGAACAAGGCCCATGTCATCTGGGTAGCACATGGCCTCCATAAACCATCACCTAGGCCTGTACTGAGAGGGCACTTCAGTCTCACCACCAAAAGATTGAATTTTGACCAAACAGAGCTCAACCTTATCTCACAAGATAAACAGATTCCTACAGAACCTCCAGTAGTCATGAAAACCAAACTTGTTAATCGCTATATTGTTTTATTCTTTTTTGGGGTGTGTGTGTGGGGGGGGAGTATATTAATAAAGCATCACTGATACATAGAAAATATGTTGATTGTTTAAAATATTTTGGAAGTTAAAACACTATTAAGAGGGGATCTCAAAAGGTAATTTGAATTTTTGCCTATAAAATTCTTATCAAAAGTGAAACAATATTTGGTTTGCAATAAGTTAGTAATCCTTGAGAAATTTGGTTATCAATTGGGAGAGTTAGATTTCGATTTTACTAGACATTTCTTAAAGGAGATTTAAGCATTTTTTTAAAAAAGAACATTAGTGTATAAGGATTTAATATCTAAACTCACCATTAGTTTATCTTAGCTTAGAATTTCTGGAAACTGGTTGTTCTAAAATATATTACCTAATCAACATATTTCTTATATAACAATAATGCTTTATTAACATATCTTCCCACAAAATAACATTACCTGATCTTGTAAATAAACAACACTGAACATACAATCTAATTTATCTTCACATATAAATTCGTAAATAATATTTGTTCTATTTAAATTTTGTCCTAAGAGGTGAATTATTATTGTTAAAAATAATAATTAATCTCTTAGAGCAAAATTAAATAGAACAAATACCATTTATGAATTTAAATGTCCATTAAGAAATTGTATTAATCAAAATTCATAAAATAATTATATATTTCTTTTTTTACTACAACATTGTTTTGTTGAAGACTCACACTACATCTTTCTTTTTTTTCAATTCCTCATTTAAATACTCCTGGAGACCTACTATATATTTGTAACATATATTTGTGATAGTACAAATATAATATCATCGGCTACATGTTAAAAAAGGCTAAAAATAATGGAAGCCTTATTAATAAAAACAAAAAATCCAACACTCAATAATATCGACTATGAACATGGACACAATATGTTGAAGGTATTTTGAAAATGAAACATTATGGAAATACATACATACAACAATCTATTTCTAGTTAACAGTTAATATATTTCAACCTTGGAAATGGCTAAATGTATAGCCAAAAGCGCTCAGAAAAAAAACAACATTTGGACAGTTTTTATATAATTTATCTACTGAAAAGAAAAATATTATAAGATCACATGAGAAATTATATAAAAAAATTTAATCAAGCACCTTCAGTATCTTCTATATTTCTGAGATTTTATGATGTATATTATTTTTTATTCAAACTATTGTCCTATATCTTTATATCACCATATTTATTATGTCAATTCAGATTAACCTGTATGCTCCCAAGAATTCTTCAGGTGGTTGGAATGTGGAACTGAACCTTTCAAATAAAAAAAAGACTGTTCTAAATTCCAAATTAAATGTTTAAAATATGTCAAATGTCAGAAATCTCTGTTAATTTTTTCTCCAAAGGACACAAGGCACAGTTGATAAAAAATTTTAGTTAGATCCAGTGACAGGACAAAAAATAGTGAGTTCAATACCTGGTTTAGGCAGTGTAGAACTTGGAGAGGGCATTAAACATAGCACGTGGAACTAGATTTTGCTACACCAGTGAGTGAAAAAAAGGGTTCAAATTGACATTCCAACCACCTGAAGAAGGCCGAAGCATTTTTCATTGAAAAATTTGTAATAAATATGAAATCAAAGATAAGGACAATAGTCCAAATAATGTAAATAGTGTTTAATCATAAATGTCCTATGTCATATTTAATGAAACTTGCATGAAAAAGAAGGATTGCATCCTAAATACAAATATATATATATATATATATACACACACATATATATATATATATACACACATTACATATATTTTAACACACACACACATATATATATATATATATATATATATATTTTATGATATATACACACACACATTACACACACACACACAATAAAATCAAAATTGATATATGTAAATTATATAATTTAATGTATCTCATGATGAACAGACAGTTGTTTAGAGCAATCATTATTAAATTAGAAATAATAAAGTCCAATACTTATCGGATGTCAAATTTCCTAATCCTTAACTCATCACCAGTCAGAACTTTCAATAAGAATGATGGCACAGCTTACAAAGAGTTTATTTTATTATTTTATAAATGTTTATCTATATAGGTTAACTTTCAAATTTAAAATTTACAGTTACAACTGTCAATGTTGTGAGTTCTCTATAACAAAGTAAAAAGCCAAATAATCATTTCTCAGTTTTTTAAATAGGTGACAAAATTTATTTTGTAGAAATTCTATATATACATATACATACATACATATATATCTATATATACAGTGAAACATGTGCTGAGACATATATATAACACTTCCACACAAATCAAAAAGTACCGCAAAATTATAAATTTATTTTTAATTTTTTTAAGATTAAAGACCATGTCTAGAAAATATTTGAAAAAAAAAATATTTTGCTTGAAAGAAAAAAGAAAGAATAAAAAAAAAGAGAGAAAAAATTAAATATATAAGGGTGTAAAGTGAAAAAATTTTGAAATAGTAACATTTCTACAGACAGGTGTATGTAATTTGAATTTTTTTACATTATGAAAAAAAAAAAAAAAAAAAAAAAAATACCAAATGAAAAGTGCATATAAAAATAAAAAAATTAGAAGCATAAGCAGTCAATTACTTTACTAGTGACATGTGGATAGAGGATTCCCAAAGAGTCCATCTCTTAAACTAAAGTTGGGATGCTGAAGGCAACATCAATTTTGCTAAGTGACAAACCTTTTAATTTTGAATTTATATATATATATATATATATATATATATATATATAGTGTATTTTTCAATCTCACTTTTATATATTATTTCATGAGATTAATATATATGTATATCCAGGTAAAATGAGAACAAATAGAGTACAATCCCAATGTTTGTAACATTTAATTTAAAAGAGGGCTCAGTACAAAGTAGATCAATATTCTTTATTTTAGGATATTACATTGATAAACATGTCAAAAAATGCTACACAATTGCAGTCATGTTTTGATGCAAGCTCAATAGATCAATAAATCATTCACTTACCAGTCATTTACAATTACCTAATGAGATGAGTTGATTCACATTGAAATTCAACTGCAATTGTGTAGCGTTTTTTGATGTAATATCCTATATGCAC